TTTTTTTTTTTTTTTTTTGATTTCTTTTATAATTTATTCGCATCGAAAACCAAAACCAAACGAGTTCTGCGCATTCTGCGCGCAAATGCAGATTTTCCGTTATAGTCGAACCCCGACAACGCAATAATACGCGCCGGTACGACGTTCCCTTTAATAATATTATTTTTATCGAATCACGTCGCGTTATTATTATAATAATACGTCGACGGCGCTGCAGTTGCCCGTACATCAAATTTATTAAAACATTACGAATATACCTTCTCCTCCCGGTCTCCACCGCCCCGACCCCCCCGACCCCCACCACCGACCCCGCCCGGCTACAACCATACACCGCCGAAAACAACGACGTCAAAACATAATTTTAACCGTATTACGCGATATTGGAATATTAAAAGCGCGATTTAACGGAGAAAATCTAATTTTTACACGTCGTCGCCCGCGCTCGCGTCGACGTCAACGACGTCCCGTCATTTTTACACTCTCGGTCATTATAATAATAATATATTCGCTTTCGGAGTGTTGAAACGGCACGCCGAGCACCGTGCGCTCGCCGACTTTTCCTTTTCCCGGGCGTTCGGAAAACGGTTATAACTACGAAATCCGGTTTATCGTTACGGCTGCCGGTAATGGCACCGATCGACCCAATACCGTCGCGACGCGAAATGCCGCAGAGGAGTTCGGAATTGAGATCTGTCGACAGGTTCAAACGATGCGTTGGAGATTCGCATCGATAATAATAATAATAATAATAATAACTGTTACATAATGTCGTAACCGAACGGAATAAATCGCAATAATACTGTCGTCCGTGTTGCATTCGTATGCTCGGTGGCGGATATAGGATTTTTTTTTTTTTTTTTAGTTGGTGGGGGAATGGCTGAAATTGTTCACAACATTAATTTCGAACAATGAACGCTGAATATAAAGTACAAATCAAGTATCAATATTATCGACTACCGTAACAATTGCAGGCAGGAGCGGCTTCAAACATTTACCAGGGGAGGGGGGACATTATTTTTAGCGATTGCTAAATTACAAAGGGGACTTAGTCGCTTAGAGAATACCCCAACAGCTGGAACGCAAGTTTGTCAATAAATAATCGCTTACGCTTATACATTATAATTGATTTAATTTAATAAAATATTTTAGACAACAAACTTCAACCTTCTTTTTTTTTTTTTTTGTTTAGCAAACATTTCTATTATTTCATCAACTATGTCATACATATTCACATTTCGATGTACATTTAGCGAGCATAAACTCGCCAAACAATCCTCGTCCAAGTCCTTGATCGAAGCCAAGTTCTAACTCTGCGTAAAGTCGAAAAACTTCTCTCGGCTGAAGCAACACTGACTGGGAGTGTTGCTAATATAATCTTATAATAGGAAATATTTCATTTTCACATTTCGTTAGAGCGTCTAATGCTTGAACCAGGCGCGGA